ACCCGCACACACACACCCGCGCACGCCTACAGCCACGCGCACACTTACACGTGCGCGCACGCGCACACGCACACGCACGCGCACACGCGCACCCTTGCGCACATGCACGCGCACACGCACGCGCACAAGCACACGCACACGCGCACGCACGCGCGCACGAACGTGCACACGCACGCGCGTACGCACACGCACACGCACCCGCAGACGCACACGCACGCGTGCACGCGCACGCACGCGCACGCGCGCGCCACGCGCATGCGCACGCGCACGCGCACACGCGCACGCGCACACGCACACGCGCACACACGCGCACGCGCGCGCACGCGCGCGCGCACGCGCACGCGCACGCGCACGCGCACACGCACGCGCACACGCACACGCACGCGCACGCGCACACGCACACGCACGCGCACCCGCTCACGCACACACGCACGCACGCGCACGCGCACGCGCACGCGCGCGCCCACGCTCGTGCACGCGCGCGCGCACGCGCACACGCACACGCACACGCACACGCACGCACACACACACACCCGCGCACACCTACAGCCACACGCACACTTACACGCACACACACACGCACACGAACACGCACGCGCACGCGCACGCACGCGCGCACGTGCGCGCGCACGTTTGCGCGCGCGCACGCGCGCACGCGCGCGCGCACGCGCATGCGCGCCCGGGCAAGCACACGCACACGTGCATTCGCACGCACACGCACACGCACATGTACACCTACATTTACACGCGCACGCACGCGCACACGCACGCGCACGCGCAGGCGCAGGCGCACGGACACACGCGCGCACATATGTGCACACATGCGTACACCTATACAGACATCCGCACATCGCACACGCGCGTGCGCGCACGCGCGCACCTGTACCCGCGCACGCTTACACGCCCACCCACCCACCCACCCGCGAACGCACGCGCGCACGCACGCACGCACCAACGCACGCACGCGCGCACGCGTACACGCGCCCGCACCGCGCACGCGCGCGCACACACACGCACGCACGCACACACACGACACCAACCCGTACACGCACACGCACACGCGCACGCGCGCGCACACGCACACGCACGCGCACGCGCACGCGCACGCGCACGCGCACGCGCGCACCCTTACGCACGCGCGCACGCACACGCACGCGCACACGCGCACGCACCCACCCACCCACCCGCGAACGCACGCACGCACTCATGCACGCACCAACGCACGCACGCACGCGCACGCGCGCACACACACGCGCACGCACGCGCACATACACGCGCCCGCACCGCGCAGGCGCGCGCACGCACACGCACATACACACGACACCAACCCGCACACGCACACGCACACGCACACGCACACGCACGCGCACGCGCACACGCACACGCACACGCACACGCACGCGCACACGCACACGCACACGCACACGCACACGCACACGCACGCGCACACGCACGCGCACATGCACGCGCACGCGCACGCGCTCCCTCACCTGCACGCGCCCACGCGCGCATGCGCACGCACACGCACACGCGCACACGCCGCGCACACGCGCACCGCACGCACGCCGCGCACGCGCGCACGCACACGCACACGCACGCACGCACGCACGCACGCATGCACGCACGCGCGCGCACGCACGCACACACACGCACACGCACACACATACGCACGCACGCACGCGCACACGCGCACGCACACGCACACGCACACGCACGCGCACACGCATGCGCACGCGCGCACACGCACGCACACGCACGCACACACCCACGCACGCGCACACGCACACGCATACTCACACACGCATACACACACGCGCGCACACACACGCACACACACACACACACGCACGGGCGGTGCTGGTAAGGAGACCATGCCTCTCGCGATGCGAGTGTCGGATGTCCCGCCCTGTGGTGGCGCGCTTCCCATGTGGCGCCGGGATCTTTCGTGCGCGGAGATCGCGCGGAGATCGTGCGCGCGCAAGTGCACGCGCGCACGCGCGCGCACGCGCGCACGCACGCACGCGAACACGCGCGTGCACACGCACGCGCGCACGCACACGCACCCGCATGCGCACACGCGCGCGCACGCGCACGCGCACGCGCACACGCACGCGCACGCGCACACGCACGCGCACGCGCGCGCACACGCACGCGCGCGCACGCTCACGCGCACACGCGCACGCACACGCGCATGCGCACGCGCATGCGCGCGCGCACGCCGGTTCCGCACGCGCGCGCGCACGCGCGCGCGGCTGGTTGGGGGCTCTCACCTGCCGCGCGCGCGCATGCGCCGCGCGCGCAAGCGGAAGCCGCACATGACTCGCACGCGCACGCACGCGCACGCGCACGGGCGCGCGCGCGCACTGGTATGCGCGCGCGCACCCTGCACGCTTCACGGCACGCGCACGCGCGCGCGCAACGTGCACACACACGCCACACCGCACGCGCACACGCACACGCACGCGCACACCACAACGCACACGCACGCGCGCGCGCACGCGCGCGAGCACACGGGCACGCGCGCGCACAACGCACGCGCAGAGCACACGCGCACACGCACGCGCATACCCACACGCCCACGCTCGCGCGCGCGCGCACACGCACACGCACACTCACACGCACACACACACCAGCGCACGCCTACAGCCACTCTCACACTTACGCGCACACACGCACGCACACGCGCACACGCACGCGCACACGCACGCGCACGCGCTCACTCACACGCGCGCGCACGCGCGCACGCGCGCGCACACGCGCACGCACACTTACACGCACACTTACACGCACGCGCACACGCACGCGCACGCGCGCGCGCACGCGCACGCGCAGGCGCAGGCGCGCGGACACACGCATGCGTACACCTGCACGGACAGCCGCGCACACACGCACGCGCACGCGCGCACGCACTTGCACCCACACACACACCTTCACACCCACCCGCCCACCCACCCACCCACGAACGCACGCACGCATTCACGCACGCACCTACGCACCCGCGCGCGCACATGCACACGCCCACGCCACGCATGCGCACTCACACGCGCACGCACACACACGCGAACACCCACCCGCACACGCACACGCGCGCGCACGCGCATGCGCACGCGCACGCGCACGCACGCGCACGCGCACACGCACGCGCACGCGCATACGCCCATCCACACGCACGCGCACACGCGCGCGCACACGTTCACGCACGCGCACAAGCACACGCACACACGCGCACACCTGCGCAAGTACCCACGCGCGCACGCACGCGCGTGCGCATGCGCGCACGCGCGCGCACGCGCGCGCACGCACGCGCGCGCGCGCGCGCGCCCGCACGCGCGCGCACGCGCGCGCGCATTCGCGCACCCACGTACGCACGCACGCACCTACGCACGCTCACGCGCACACAATCACACGTGCCCGCGCACGCGCGCACACGCGCGCGCGCGCGCTCGCACGCGCGCGCGCACGCGCACGCGCACTCGGATGCGCGCGGGCACGCGCGCGCACGCACGCACACGCACGCATGCGCGCGCACGCGCGCGCACGCGCGCACCCACGCACGCGCACGCGCGCACGCGCGCACACGCACGCGCACGCACACGCACACGCGCGCCCGCGCCCACGCCCACGCCCGCGCCCGCATCCACGCCCGCGCCCACAACCACCCCCACCCCACGCGCACACACACGCACGCCAGCACACACGCCCACCCTTCACACCCACTCCCCCCCCTCCCCCCGCACCCATCCCCGCGCCCACCCACGTGCCCGCCCACGCGCCCGCTCGCGCCCGCCCGCAACCGCCCGCGCCCGCCCGCGCGCCCCCGCGCCCACGCGCACCCGCGCGCACAAACACACCCACCCACGCCCACCCGCGCCCAGCCGCGCACCCACGCACCCGCGCCCACCCACGCCCACACATCCACGCGCGCGCACGCGAACACCCACGCACACACACCCAGGCACACCCACACACACCCACACCCGCACCCACGCCCACCCACGCCCACCCACACACGCCCGCGCGCGCCAGTGCGCGCCCGCGCGCGCACGCGCGCATACGCGCACGCGCGCACGCGCGCACGCGCGCGCATGCACACGCGCGCACGCGCGCGCACATGTTCGCACGCGCACACGCGCACGCGCGCGCACAGACGCGCAGGCACACGCGCGCACGCGCGCGCACGCTCACGCGCACGCGCGCAAACACGCACGCGCATACGCGCACACGCGCACGCGCACGCACGAACACACACACACACACACGCACACACGCACATACACACACGCGCACGCGCACACACGCACGAAAGCACGCGCGCACGCGCACACACGCGCACACGCACGCACGCGCGCGCGCACACGTGCACGCGCACACGCACGCGCACACGCACGCGCGCGCGCGCGCACGCGCACGCGCGCGTGCACGCACGCGCACACGCACACGCACACGCACGCGCACGCGCACGCGCGCGCACACGCACGCGCTCACGCCCACGCACGCGCGCGCGCACGCGCGCGCGCACGCACGCGCACGCGCACGCGCGCGCGCACGCGCACGCGCACACGCGCACGCGCACGCGCACGCGCACGCGAGCACGCACGCGCGCGCGCGCACATGCGCACGCAACGCAAACGCACGCGCACCCGCGCCGCACGGCGCACACGCACGCGCACCGCACGCACGCCATGCATGCACGCAGCACGCACACGCAACACGCACGCGCGCGCGCACGCACGCACGCGCGCACGCACGCGTGCACCTCGCAGGCGCCGCGCACGCACACACGCACGCACACGCGTACACACGCGCACGCACACGCACGCACACATATACACACACGCACACAAACACGCGCACGCACACACACGCGCGCACACACGCACGCACACGCGCACACACACGCACACACACGCACGCACACACGCACGCACGCACATATATGGACTGTTTTAACAACGTGATGCAGAGCCCTGGGGGAGAGTGCCGCACGTTCGTTATGTCAGGTCATGCCTTCGGTTCTCCGCTGACATATGTGCTCAAGTGCATTGAGGAAGGTTGCTCGATGAGCTTCAGCGAGTGGCTCACAACCGAAGCAGTCCGCTCCGCCGCCACGAGCCTGGCGGTCTGGGCTGCGAAGCCCGAGTGTCCGCCGTGCACCTGCAAGCCATCGCTGGTGTGCGGCAGCGGGTCGGAGCCTCAGAGGCTGGACTGCCCACACCAGGTGGGGACCTGGCCGCTATCGGCCGTCGTGCTGGCCGCGGTGCTGGGCCTGGCCGCTGGCGCGCTGCTGGGCCTTTGGTTCACTCCACCTGCTCCGACGCGGGCTCTGACGACGACCGACCATTTCGAGGAGGAGGCCCGTGCCCAGGCTGCTCTGGTTCGCGGGCGGCTGCAGGTCCAGTGAGGCCATGTCGGCGGCGGCCGCTGCGGCCGCGGGCCATCCCCTCGCCCGCCTCGGCCTGGATGAGGGGGACTTCATCTTGATCCGATACCAGGTCGGGGGGGCGAGGATCTGGCATGAGCGCCTCCTCCTGGCCTTCCAACCTGTCGAGCCCTTTGGGTGCGGGATCCTGACCCCGGACGGGCACGACTACGTCGAGATCATCGCAAATGGAGGCGCGGACGTGGCCGAGTTCTGCATCACAGCTGGAGGCGCCGCCGGAGGCATCTCGGCGGCGACTGGAGGGGACCAGGTCTACCGGTTCCGCGCCCTGCCTCTGCCGGCGGCCGTCGCTGCCGCGGCCACCGCCACTCGGGGCACGCTCGGGCTCGCTCAGGGTCCGGCCGTGGCCCTGAACACCGTGGGCCGGGTCATCGAGCCGCCAGCTGTCGCTCCTGCTGCTGCTGGTGTCCCTGCCGCCGCGGGCGGCCCGGCCGCTGGCGGCGTGGCGGGCCTCGCGGCGGCCCTGGGGGCGCCCGCTGCGGTCGGTGCGGCGGCCCTTGGAGCAGCGGCAGGCGCGCTCGTGCCGGCCGCAGCGCCCGCTGGGGCCGCGCTGGGAGGCGGCCTTGTGCCGGTGGCCGGCGCCCTCGCGGCTGGCGCCCCGCTGGCCGCCGGGCCCGTGGGCGTCCCCGCTCCCGCAGCCGCCGCGCCCGCCGCAGCGGCCGCCGCACCTGGATGGGCCGACATAGGGGCGGGCGCCCTGGCGAATGCTTTCGCTGCAGTAGCGGCGGCCCCTGGCGGCGACGCACGGATGCAAGCCATCGTCCAGGACTCCCAGGGGGTCCGTTACGTCGACTTCAGGACGGCCGTGATGAGGATGCACGAGTTGCCTTGGCATGACTGGCCGCTCAAAGGGCCAAGGACGTTGTTGTGGGTGCTGAACTACATCTGCCGCAACGGTGGCACACCGCTCGGGCGCCACACCAAGTGGAAGGCTGAGGCCTACCTGGACGACGAGGATCCAGGAGTGGACGTGCACTTGCTGTGCTGCAGGCTGTTGGAGTTCGGTGTCGTGTATGATCAGACCCACGCGACCAATCTAGCGTCGATGGAGCTGGTTGGCCGCACGCTCCAGACCCAGGAGGAGCTGTACCGCGACAGGTTCGCGCCCACGTCCGAGCATGGGAACGACGCCGCGCTGCTGTCCGGCGTCCAGGATGCGGGCAGCGGCATCTGCATGGCCCCGGCGCTGCGCGACTGGCTGGCTGCTGAGAAGTCGCGCGAGGCGGCGATCGCCAAGGAACGGCGCAAGGCTCGCGAGGAGCGTGCTTTGGCCGCCGGGACTGGCGCTGCTGGCTCTGGCGGCGGCGAGGGGCGCGGAGGCCGTGGCCGCGGCGGCCGAGGCCGAGGGCGACGGGGCCGTGGGGGCGGCAATACCCCAGGCGCCGATGCCTGAGATGAGCCGAGGGGGGGCAGACGGGCCAGCCTCCCCTCGGGACTGCTTCGCGGCTCCCGCCGCAGGCCCCCGGCCGCCAGGGACACGACGCCAGCGCGACGTTTTCCCGCTGCCGGTCACACCGACCGCTGCTCCGCGAGTTGTGGAGCCTGGCGGGCGACGCGCTGCTCGTCGGCGCGGCCTTCGCGCTCATCATGATGATCGTGTTCGAGCGGCCACCAATGCACTCAATTCACTCTATGGCACTCGGTCCTCGCCTCCGTCAGCAGCGCACGAGGGGCAGCGCCAGGCCATCATGCATATCGACCGATGCGTCAAGGAGCTGGGCGCGCCGCCGCCCGAGTTCAGGGACACGCGTGCTGGTCAAGACGGGGCCCTCCGGGAGCTCCTCTCCTGCGCCAACCTGTACGGTTCGGGCGCCGCCTCGTCGTCCCCCTACGTCCGCGACCGAGTCGCATGGCCCGCTGGTGGTGCCGCGCCCGTCGAGCTTGTCGAGTTGGTGCAGCCCCATGACAAGGCCTGGCTGGAGGGATGGCAGAGCCATATGCTTCGAGATCGGCAGTCCGCCGAGGCCTTGGCACGTTCGGCCTGCCCGCACGGGCCGTACTGCGACCCGAACCTGTTCCGGGACGCGATCGCCTATGGCCAGTTTTTGATGGAGATGCACCAGAGGCAGATGGTTACTTTCGCGGCTGACACCGGTCAGCCCCACACCGTCGGTCTCTTCTTTGTGCCCAAGAAGTCGGGGGCCCTCAGGATAATTTTCGACACGAGGGCCGCCAACTGCAAGTTTTTGGATCCGCCGGCTACGAGGCTTCCCTCAGCTGCGTCTTTCAGCGCAATTGAAGCCCCGGCAGACGGCATGTACCTTTCCACGTGCGACCTGGAGTGCGCCTTCTACCACATGCGGCTGCCGCGCGGGATGGAGACGCTGTTCACCCTGCCGTCGATCTCGGTCGCCGTGTTGCAAGAGCTCGGCCTAATCGACCTTGACTTCGATCCTCTCTCGCGCGTGGCGCCCATGGTGACCGTCCTCCCGATGGGCTTCTCGTGGGCTTTGCACTTCTGCCAGTCGGCTGCGCGCGCTGTCCTTGCTGCGGAGGGCCATGAGAGGGCCATGACCGCCATGGACGGCCAAGCCGGCGTTGTGGTCACGGACCCGGTCTCCGTCGGCGTCGGGGCTTACGTTGACAACATCCTGGCTTTCGGTGCGGAGAAGGGCGCGGTCGACCTGGCTATGACACGGCTGGTGGCCGCCTTCCGTGCTCGAGGGCTTCCTGTCCACGAGATCGAGCCCGCCGCAAAGGACCTGGACTTCTTGGGCCTCAGTTTGAAGCACGGGAGGTACCTCAGGATCAAGCCGCGGAACATCTGGCGATTGCACTCGGCAATCACTGGGCTTCTGAGGCGGGGCTGGTGCAGCGGCCACATGATGCGTGCGGTGCTGGGCCATGTGACCTGGTCGTCCATGATCCGCCGGGAGGTACTCACGGTGCTCCACAGCGCCTACGGCTTCGTGGCGGCTTACGGCGAGAGGCAGGGCAGGATCTGGGCGGCGGCGGCGAAGGAGTTAACTATCATCCGTGACCTCCTGCCCGTCCTGTCCGGCGACCTCGCTGCCGCGTGGCACCCCACGCTGACGGCTAGCGACGCATCGCCTTTCGGTCTTGGGGTGATGCGGAGACGCGCGCCTCGGGCCGTCTGCGCCGCCGTCGGGCGCTGCTCGGAGAAGTGGCGTTTCAAGGTCGAGGGCGGGCACCAGGCCCGGCTCCGATCACTGCGAGAGGGCGGCCTGGAGCGCCCCAGCGTTGAGTCAGAAAACGTCGACCCCTCTCGGCCGCTTTCTCCAATCGACCCTTCACAGCTCGGTGTTCATCACGTTAGCCCTGTGGGCGGTCAAGCAGGTTTGGCGTCATCGTGTGTCTTGGGAGCTACGTGTACCTCTCCGGGCCTGCAGGGGGACCCCTACAAGGAGCTCATGGGCCAGCACGGGGACCCCTACGTGGAGCACGTGGGCCTGCATGAGGGCCCCTTCATCTCCAAGGGCCAGCACGGGGACCCCCACGTGGAGCTCAAGATAGACAACAGCCTCACGCGTGCCAATGCCTCTTACGTCGAGGGCGACTCTTGGGACATGGAGGAGGTTCCTGGGCACCTTACTCGCATGGATGCCTGGAAGTCAGTCTCGGCGCAGTCGGTCTCCACGGGGGCCAACATACTGTACCTGGAGGGGGAGGCCCTGGTCACGTCCTATCGCCATCTCCTCCGAGGTTTGGGCGCTCATGGGGCTCGCATGGTCGCTCTTGTGGACAACCTCCCCTTAGCCCTCGCCTGCGCGAAAGGAAGGGCTCGGTCAAGACACTTGAGGTCGTGCCTGAACCAGCTGTGTGCACTGTCCCTGGCCACTGGCTCGAAGTTGTTCGTCCGCTGGATTGCCTCGGAGCGTAACCCAGCAGACGGCCTCAGTAGAGGCAAGCTCGGCTGGTTCACCGGCCATCGACACCTTGGCCATGCGAGGACCCGCACTGGCCGTCGCGGCGCTCGGCCTTCTGCTCGGGTTTCTGGCACGCGAGGCGCAGGCCATGCAGAGGCAGATGGCCCCTACGTCTCCAGTTCGGACTCGTCAGCGCGCCCAGCTGGCGGCGGCGGCGGCGCGCGGGCGGCCTCTGGTGGGCGCCCTGACGCTCCTGGAGCAGCTGTCCGTATGGCCAAACACGGAGGCCATGTACAGGCGGCTCCTGCAGACGTTCCTCACGTATTGCTGGGTCCACCGCCGGGACTGGAGCCACTCGCGCGAGCTGGACTGCCTGCTCGTCGAGTACTGCACCTTTCGCTACATCGCGGAGGCGGTGCCGAGCGTCGGACCGCAGACGGTGGCAGCGCTGACGCTCTTCACGCCGGGGCTCCACAGGCGGGTGGGCTCGCCTTGGCCCCGCGCCTCACGCGCGCTGCAGGCGCGGCGGAGGCTGGCCATGACCCGCCCGCGTTCGCCCATCCCGAGGGCGGTCATGTTCGTGCTGGTGAACGTCCGGATCGCCTGGCAGCAGGCGCCGAGGGCGGCGCGGCTGGCGAGGCCGTTCTCGGTATACCTCATGTCCGCCGAGACTCAGCGGCTGCCCACGGACAGCATCGTGGAGCCCTCGGCGCCAGCGGGCCCAGCCTACCAGTTCTGGCACCTTCTCCTCCCCCCCGCAGGCCGCGGGCAGGCGGGCGAGACGGGTGCCTTCGACGAAAGCGACGACCTTTTGTCCCGGTGGAGGTCGCAGGAGCAGGTTTACCAGCGAGGCTGTTGGGCTGTGCCATCATCGAGGATGAGGTACGCGAAGGGGACGGCCCTCTTCCGCGAGCTGAGGGGCGTGCTTTCGACCATGTACGTATTCGGCGACCTGGCCGCGCAGAGCTCCGCGCTGCTGATCGAGAAGGGCTGCGCGGGCGCGGGGCTGCAGCGGCGCACTCCGGCCAGCTTACTGGAGGCGCTCATGGGCGGTCCAGCGCGGCCCGAGCGTGCGAGGCGACGGCCTGCCAGCCGCAGCTGGGCGCTGCCTGCCGTGCCGGCGCCAGTGCTGCCGCCGGCCCAGGGCGTCAGCGGCCGCGGCTGGGCAGCTCCGAGTGCGCCGACCACCTGCGGCGCCGCTTCAAGGCTGCGGTCAGCCGCGGCTCGCTGTGCCGGCGTCGGGTGGTTCTGGAGCTTTTCTGCGGCAGTGGCCATTTCTCTGCTGCCGCCCGCCGCCTGGGCTTGTCGGCGCTCGGCCTGGACCTCCGGCTGTCGCCGCTGGAGGACCACTGCCGCCGCGATTTCGAGCGGGTGGTGTCCGGCTGGCTTCGCAGCCGCGCCGTGGCAGCCGTCTTCCTAGGCACGCCCTGTACGACGTGGTCTCGAGCGCTCCGGAAGGCTCTGAGGTCGCGCGCCCATCCGATGGGCCTCGGCGGCCTCTCGGCATCTGAGATTGCCCGCCTGACTACGGGCAACGCCTCGTTCTACTTTACATGTCGCATCATACGTTTATGCTGTAAGTTAAGCATACCTGTGATGCTCGAGAACCCTGCTAGTTCTTTAATGTGGCATGCCAAGCTTCTTTCGTCCCTCATCATTTCGCAGTGTGCACGGGTGTGTGATTTTGATCAGTGCCAATTCGGTACACCCTGGCAAAAAAGGACGAGGATTGCGGCCTGGAAGACAGGCCCTCTTTCCGACTTGCATCGGCTCTGTAAGGGCCGCCGGGGTCTTTGCTCTCGCACGCATAATCGGCATACCATTCTCACGGGCCAGGCCCCAGAGGGCTGTAAATATACTGCGTTGGCCGCCGCCTATCCCGCTAGCCTGTGCACGGTGTTGGCCAAAATTGTCAGAGAGGCTGTTCTGAAAAAACCACAACAAACCATGGCCGATTTAATATGTAAGCCGCCTGCTTTCCACATCTAGCAACCTTCATATTTTCTTCGGCCTTACGGCTAAAGCTACAGGCCATATCTTCCTTATGGGGTATGGGACCTCATCTGTATGTGCCTCGCCGTCTGTTACAATAGGTGGTCAATGCTAGTACCTCTCGTCCGGCAGTTATCTGCCGTGCCTGGCTCGTGCTTCACACATATGATGTAAAGAAGCGCTCCTGCCCGTCGTCGTCACCGTCGGCACCGGTCAGGGCTGCGTATGTCATCTAATAGATCTGGCACTCGTCTAATCAGGGCGGGCTGGACAGTTTTAACAACGTGATGCAGAGCCCTGGGGGAGAGTGCCGCACGTTCGTTATGTCAGGTCTTGCCTTCGGTTCTCCGCTGACATATGTGCTCAAGTGCACCCACCCGCATGCCGCCCTCACTTGAATCCTTTTTAATGCAGCCTTTTTCTTGGGACCTCATCTGTATGTGCCTCGCCGTCTGTTACAATAGGTGGTCAATGCTAGTACCTCTCGTCCGGCAGTTATCTGCCGTGCCTGGCTCGTGCTTCACACATATGATGTAAAGAAGCGCTCCTGCCCGTCGTCGTCACCGTCGGCACCGGTCAGGGCTGCGTATGTCATCTAATAGATCTGGCACTCGTCTAATCAGGGCGGGCTGTATATATATATATATATATATATATATGAACGCTTTGTACATCTCAAGGGCGTCCTTGGGAGGCTCACTGCCCACTTGGAGCGTCTTTGGGCAGTTTTGGAGCCTATTTGAGGCATGTTGGCAGTCGTCGTTAGCCATCCTGCGATTTCTTGAGCCATGTTGGGCCACCTTGGACGCTTTGACCGCTCGCCCCCCCCCACCCCCTACACCCAGTGGAGGGGCCGAAGGACCCTCCTTGTTTGGATGGACAGCCACAGGGGGAGCCAACATGAAACAGGCGCCAGTTGCGTGACGCGCCGCGCGTGCCAGGTGCGCCACGCGCACCAGTGGATCGCCAGGCGCCCGCACCACGCTTTCATCCATATCACATCCGCAAAGTGTACCGCTCGTGCACCACCGCGCCAGTGCGCCACGTGCGCGGGGCGAGCAGAGTGTGCCAGTTTGAGCTTATTATATTATTAGTTTTTTTGCTTTAGTATTTTTTTTTTTTTCTTTTTTTTATTTTTTTATATTTTTTTACTTTATTTTTTTTTATTTTAATTCTTTATTTTATATTATTTTTTATTTATATTATTATATTTTATCTTACTTTTATTTTTTTCTTCTCTAGTTTTATCTAGTTCCCCTTTATTTTATTTTTTATATTCGTCTTTTTATAGTTTTATTTATTTTTTAGTTTAGTTCTTAATTTAGTACTGTTTTTATTTCTTTCCCCTTATATTTGTAATTTTTTAGTACACACATTGGCCCTCCACATTCACCTTACATTGTTGTTTTAACAAGGGTTCTGGGCCTGCGCATACCAGACAATCTGCGGGCACCCTGCCATCGTTGCCAACCATACATAAGAGTAATCGCGCATCCCCCGCGCATGGTATTGTGCCAAACCCTCCTGTGAGTTGATCCCTTGTTTTGAATCTGCAGCGCTGCGCCCCACCTCTCCTCCTCGACCTTGTCATCAGCATCACCGTTATCGTGAGCATCGTCATAGTCAGCGTCACCACCATCGTCACCATCACCATCATTTCTATCAATGTGACCACCGTCTTCATCCTCCTCACAGTTTCGGCGCACCCTTCACACGTTTCGCGACCCTCTGCGGAGCTTCACCGAAAGCCCCAATGGCAGGGGTTGCATGGTGACCCGCCCCTTGTCGGCACACCCCGCACACATTTTGCGGCCCCCTGGGGAGCTCCACAGCAGGCCCATTTCGGGGCGCCCCTCACACGTTTCGTGTGCCCACCGGGAGCTCCGCCGAATGCCCACATGGTGACCCACTGCATTTCGGCTCGCCGCGCACGCGTTTCGTGGACTCATTGGGAGCTCCACCGAAGGCACTCGTGGCTGGGTTCGCATGGTGTGCCCCGCCTCGTTCCGGTACACCCCTCAAATTTTCCGTGGCCCCCCCTTATGGAGCTCCACCGAACGCTTCAGTATCTGCCTTCGCGCGGTGCCTCTCCCCATCCCCGCGGACCCTTCGCACGTTCCGTGGCCGTATAGAGTGCTCCGCCGAACGCTCCAGTGGCTGCGTTCGCATGGCGTCGTCTTGCCCCATCTCGGCACGCTCCTCACACTCTTCGTGGTCGCCCCGTTTGACTCGAGTCGCGAGAGTACTTGCGCAAGTGGTGAACGGTGAGTGCGGTCTGACCTTCCTTTGCGAAGCGTTCAGTGGTACGGCCAATCCCTCAGTTTGGTTTTGTGTATGGTGCGATCCTGTGTAAAGCCGCCGCGTGTTTAGAAAAGGTCGGGTTTTCCGCCAGGCTATTTGTTCGACAGGAACGGTGGGGGGGGCGGGGGTGCAGGCATGGCTCCTGGTCGGCCGCCTGTCGAGTGGGGCGAACGCATGTTTATTGATAAGGATCGATGGTCGAGCTTCCAATTGGTACGCCACAAGCTGTCTCGCTCACGCCCACCCGCACTTCCACCGTAGAAGTATCACCCGAGACTCAGCCTAGGCAGAGGATGCCATCGTATGGGCAGCCATTAGGGACAACCCGAGCGTCTCCGCGCGCCGCATCGGCAGCGAACTTGTCGTATGCCTCGGGCTTGCATGGTTTGCCTTCCCTCCCCCTCCTCATCCTTTTCTGTTGGTTCCCGCTTTGTCCGTTTCCCCGTCTTCCTCTCCCTTCGGACTGGGAGCGGTCTCTTTTTGAGGGATCGGGAGGGGTCGTTTGTAGAATCGCGGGCGAGTGGGAGGGGCGATGGACGGAACGACAGTGCATTATCAGACTTGTGTGCTGGGCTCGCGCCAATTCGCACTACTGTCAGTGGCTGTCTGCTGTACAGGGCTTCTGATACTTTTGTGCGTAGCTCGCGCCAATTTGCACCACTGTCATGGGCTGTCTGTTGTACAGGGCTTCTGATACTGCTGTGCGTGGCTCGTGACGTCCCGCATCATTTTCATTAGCTACCCATTCTCCGGAGCTTCTGAGACTTCTGTGCAAGTCTCGCGCCAGTTAGCACTTCGGTCTGTTTTACGTGTGTGTCTATCGATTGCCCCTCTCCTGGGGTTACAGTTCTACGCGGGTTATGTACTCGCCGCACTGTTGCGCGTGGCGCTATACAAAACCATCCCATCGTACAGGGTCATGTATGCACTGTAGAAGCAAAGCATGCAAATTGGAACTCGGCGAGAGATCATTCTAACACTCCGATGCCCATTCTCTCTGCGGTCGACCACGGTTGCGTGTGAGCGCGGCCGTGGCAGAGAGAACAGCGTCAGGCTTGAAAGTGGCTTGTCTAAGAAAATCTTGGCTCGACGCCCTACCGATTTTTCCATACAGCGCGAGCTGTTGTCGCAGAAGCTGGGTTCTGTAAGGGTCTTGCCGGGCCTCCTGCAGCTCGGCCTTACTGCCCGCGCGCGACAAGCAAGGAGGTGGAATGTGCAAAACTCTTCTGCGGCACTTGGCTTAGAAAAAAAACAATAGGGACAACCCGAGCGTGCCAGGCGCGCTTAGTGTTCAATATGCGCCGAGTGCGCCACCTGCTCCAGTCGTGACAGGTGCGCGACGCGCACAGAGTACGACAGTTGCGCAAGTACACGTGGCACCACACATCTGACAATGTCGACCCCCTCACCGTCTGTGTCAACAGCCACCTGCAATGCGTTTGCATTCGTATTTGTCAGGGATAATGGTGCAGCGCACAGCGGATAGCTATGCCCTCACAATCGCCATGTTTGTGTGATGTCAGATTCAAAGTATTCGCTGGGGTCTCGCTCACGAAGCACATTTGCCACCACGTCCATGTTGTTTTTGTTGGCAGGGATCGTTTGGGGGTGGGCTCATGGTTCCAGCTGGTCGGATGACAGTGGGGGGTGATTTTTGGCAAGGAGCAGTGGCAACCCCGCCCGATGGAAAGACATTCGTTCCATCCGTCGGAGGCAACGGCGGCATGTATTTTTTGTATGATGGTTCATGTCACGATAGACACGCGATTCTTCCGATTGGGAACGCATGCCTTGATTTCTGTGTGTGCACTTATCAGACGCGTGGGCTGCGGGCATGCAAGTAGTTGGTGCCCAAGTGTTGTGTGATATCGCGAATTGCGAGGAGGTAGCCGAAGCCTACTTTTATCTGTCGGTTTGCCCTTGCATATTGACTTCGAAGACGTAGCGTTTGACGTATAAACTCACTCACTGCAGTCATGGACTCTTGTATGAATGAGCGTCTTTCCCATGAGCAGCTGCACCAGCGGGCGGGGCGGATGGGAATGGTCGGGGACCACATTCTACTTGCTCTCATTGTACTCGCTTGTCCCGCACCTTATCGACTCCACATGCAGCTACACCCAGCAA